GTGGTGTGAGCATTGATCCTTTCACCCCACCTCAAGCCAAATGAACCACACACATTCCAATATAAAGAAAGCCAAGTGTCAATTCACCTCTGTTGCTGGCCCTGAATTCTCTAAGTCGCATGAAAGGTGGCACACCCAGCATGAGCCAAAAACATTGCCCCAGCTGGTCATCCTGCAGGTTGGATCTCAGGCCTGGAGGAAATCGATCTGGGTCCAGGAAGGCCAAAAAGCGAAGTGCATCCCTCCTGCACAGGTATATACAAAATATACCCATTGGACAAGGTGCAAGTACCATGGACTCAGCACTCAACACAATTGTTCTTGTTCTTGCAAAGCACCAAAGTATGGTGTATTTGGATATGGTACTATCCAAGGATATGGCTGCTCACCCAAAACAATGACTGACATCCTTGGAAAGCAATTATTCTTGTTCTTCTTGCTCTTTGCAAGACATACATGTGGAACTGCTCTTGCATCCAGAACATCACCTTGGATGCAGGACAGAAACAGTTTCCCTTCCCTCCTGCTTTGTCATTTGCAAGGCTCATGAAACAGTGAAGCCTTATTGCTGCCCAGTGTGCTTTCAGCATCTGTAGATTCTTCAGGATCTGCACAGTGTTTTGTGCATGCTAGCAGCTCAAACCCACAAAGCTAAGTCAAATTGAAGAGTGTGTGATAGTGTATGCACAAGTGCTAAATGGTCCATGGGAGCCTTTTCTCTTTTTGCTTTTCTTTCCTCCCCTTTCCCTGGAGCTCTTTCTCTTCCTGTCCCTCCTCTTTCTCCTGCGCCTTCCAGACCTTGGTCTCAACACAAAGCCCCCACTGGCAACCTCCCAAGTCATTTGCAAGGCAGCAAATCCCATTCAACAGTAACAGTGGTAATGACCTTGGAGGCAAGGCACTGTGATGATCTGGAACCTGAGGTGCAAATGGTAGAGACCCTCCCCCCACAAATGAAAACAAACCACACATACCACCACACACAATAAGTCTGAATACAAACAAAGTACATCATTGGCTTTCCACAGGCCTAGTGGCTGCTCTCACTGGCCTCATCATCATCATCATCAAGATCTTGCTGGGAGGGGAGGCGCCCAAACTCCAGCTGTTGCACACCAGCCCTGGGATGCCCAGCAAAGGTAGTGAGGAAGGATTTGGTATGTCCAATGAAATTCACACCTTCACACAGTGTGCAGGCTCTGGGGTTGAGACATTGATTGGGACATACCACCCATGTGCCTCATGTGCCAAGTGGTGAGTGATGCCCACAAAGGTTTATAAGATTGTTACATGTTACTTTGCATTGCCATACCACCAAACTAGATGCTCAGGAAGGTACTGTGCCCCAGGCTGCATCATTGCCATCCCTCCAACCTGCATACCCCCAGCAGGCTGTTGCATAGGCTGTTGCATAGGCTGTTGCACAGGCTGTTGCATAGGCTGTTGCATAGGCTGTTGCACATGCTGCTGCACAGGCTGTTGCATAGCCCCAGGCTGTTGCATAGCAAAATTGAGTGCCTGTGGCTGCCTGGGATGAGCTAGCTTAGAAAGCCCAGGCAACAAATTCTTTGCTTTGCAAACATGTTGAAACAAAGACAGGCCAAGGTGCATCACATTTGATGGCTGGCTTTGCATGTTGGTCACTGGTACTCCAGGTGGAGACCCAGAAGGCCTCACCAAGCCCAACCAATATGTATGGGACTGATTCCTACTATTTCACAGACCCTTTACCTACATGTCATGTTTGAAACAATGAATTCTTCCTGCTTCACTACCTCTGTTGTGTCTGAAATTTCAGCCATGCCACATTCTGCCAGAGTTCTTTCTATCCAGTCGCCCTCTGTCCCTTCCACCACCCATGGCTGGAGTTCTGTTGCCCAAAACCCACTATTAGAGCCACAGTTGCTGCTGGGGCAAGGGCACAACAGTTGAGTTGCCCACCACTTTCCAATGGGCTAGAAGGTGTGGATCCCTAACTGCAACAGCAGTAGCAGGTGGACCAGTGTGAGCCATTGATTGTTTAGAGGCACCTAGTTGAAAGAAGGAACCCCCAAAATAGAAAAACATTAGAAAAAATTGAATCTATGTTTTTCAATGTTCTTCAATGAAAATCAATGAGGGTTTTACCTCAAATGATAGCCTTCCTGATGGACGCCTCAGCCTCATGAAAGATTAGACTCAAAACATCTGTGAATTCTTCCGATGTCTTTGGCGGTTTGCCCTGGCTTCGAGGGTTCTCTCCCGCGAGAAACGCGGCGTTCTTTGCTTCGCCCAGCCGCTGCGGTTCGGCCGCGTTGTCCACGGGGTGCGGTTCGGACGCGAGGACGCGAGGACGATGGAGTTCGGGGAAAGTCGACTCAAAACAACTCCAACATGGTCAAGATATCCTAATATCAACTAACTATATATCCTCAACATGGTCAAGGCAACTAAGAACAACCAACTGCAAGATATAAGAACAACAATTACTTTCGTTGTAAAGTTGTTTACGATGAATCATCATTTTGGTCCAACCAGCTAAATGCACCACTATAGAACGACTTTACAAGATGTCTAAGCGTGTTCGGACACAAGAAAGCCTCTATGGGACTGCAAGCTAGCAACATGTGGTATGTACCAGGAGCGCCCCCCGAAAACCCATGAAACATAAAGGTTTTCCTCTACGAACACCAGATCTTAGTCGGGAAAACCAGGCTTTTGATGTTGGGACATCCCCATCTCCAGCAAATCCCCTCGAACTCGCCTTCACACAGGCTGCCCCTGGTACCCAGTACTGATCTCCTCCAATAGACGTCCCTTTGGGCTGTTTTCATTGTCTCATACCTGATCATGTTCGATTCTGGTGATCATCCTGTCCCAGAATGGTAATAGTTGAAGGGAACATCTACAGGAAAGCTATATGTACAGATGTTCCCTTATAGAAACCAATTGATTGCTCCTGGCATCAAGTGCACATCGTGCACATCGTGTACACGTCCACATGTAGGTCCCAATCACCATCCAAAGAGCGACTTGGTTTAACCATAACCATCTCCCATGACTTTCAGTTGTAGGGATCATGTAAGATCTATATATACCACAAAGCCATCCAAAACCTTTGTTGAAGACGAGACTGACGATTTGTCCATCATAGACTTGTCCATGGAGACGATGCCCACAGTGGAAACATAAGAAATTACACTGTTTGGACAATTTCTGGACAATTCACACCAACTGCACACTTGGAAGGCCCAAGTCTGTGGGTTCCTTGCGAAACTTGCGCTGCTTGTTGTGAGGCGCGATGGATGGTGTGAGTGAGGGATGGACAGCAAAGAAAGCCTTAGAAGCTAATCAAAGTGCCTGTTGTTTTTGTTTTTTGGGGGAACTATTGGTGACCTGCTTAGAACACGTGGCCCAGATCGGGGGTGAACATGTCGCATCCATCATGGGATTGGAATATATATATATATATAACCCTATTGAATCAATGAAGATCAGTGGATTTTCACCTGACATGTCCTGACAACATCCATTTTTCAGACACCGCAACTGGTCGACTGACACAGTCGAACGAATTGTTGGAATCGATCGCGTTGGAATCCACGGTTTCCACCGGTTTCGACCAGCTGCTTTGGATGGGTTTCACTGGACAAATCCAAGTACTTGTTGTAGCAAGAACCAGACCACTGACAGAAGCCTTATATTGGCCAAGAACCAATTACTGTTTCACGCAACATCCTCACGACACGAAGCCTCACACTGCGTACTGCCAAAAAATTGAATGACAGGTGGGTTTAGGCGTCGCGTCTTGTGATCCAGTTCTCTCTTCCGCAGAGGTCGACAAGTGATGCTCCAACTGACAGCAAGTGAGGCGACAGACAGAAATGGAATTGCAGCAGGTCTCCAAACAGAACCCTTAACATCTCTTAACTCCAAGCTTCAAATCGTTCCTTGCTTTTTGTTTATCGTCTTTCAGTTGCCCTCCTGCTGCTTTCCATTTCCACGGCTGGACCCTAAGATGGGGTCCTACCAGCGGGTCCTGGTGGCGCCGAGTTGTGGGGTCAAGACATGCCACGGCGCTCCGCCCAGCGAAACAAACACCTTTCGGAGCGCCCCAGAAAACGGAGGGTCGAACCCAATGGTTCTTGGTTTGCTGAGAAGCACCTTTTGCTTTGATGGCCCACTGACCCTTTGTATGGGTTGATTTCACCCAGACCCATGCAATGGGGCGACCAGACGTGATCGAAACCGCAGATGTCACGAAGAAGAAATCGAGTGGAGAGGAGAAGAAAGCGAATTCGTTGAGAGGAGGTCGACCCCCACGTCCTCTCAGCCTAGGCGGAGCTTCACAACACCAAGGCCTTAAGGGGTGTGGTACCTTCGCATGGCATCGCGGCATCTCTTAGTGAGGTCAGAAGCTCACCGGATTGAACTTTTAGCTATATGTTTGGCGCGTCAGCAGCACATTGAAACCGATTTCAGCCAGGTTTTGGATATGTCCTGATGTCTGATGTCTTCCCTTCGGTCCTGTAGCAGCATTGAGTTGGAGCGCAACATGAACCCCCGACCGCTCCACCGGCCCGGAGCGCGGCTCCGACCTGCCGGTGTAGGTCGCGTCGTTTTCGTGTTTTCGTGGGCGAGTGCGCCCGGCCCGGTTGGAATTCGCTGGCACGGTGCCGCACGGAGCTGTCTTGCACCGCCAAAAAGAGTACCGAAGCACTAAGTGTTTTTCCATCTGTGAGTAAGGGGCAGTGGTCCACCTGGTTGTCAGTGTTCATTTGTTTGGTCCCGGAACAAGATGGCAAAAAGCCCATGAATATGATCTGATATTTGCTATGCATCGTCGATTTCATCGAAGGGTGAGTTCTCATGCCCAGACTCAGACACTCCATGGGACTGCCTGGCTTTAGCTTGCCTGGCTTCAGCTGTGACGAGACTAGAGTATTGCATTGCTGCCACTGGACATCACTAGTGAGAGCAGAGGTTGCCTTAAGAATTTGCTTGTTGTGCAAGTGCTTGCTTGCAAATTATCCTGTTCCACCTGAAAGTATATAGGTAGTTTGTAAAGATCCGCAAGCCATGGTAACCAAAGAGGAGTACAAAGCCTGGGAGAAGCAAGTGATCGAGGTATTCTATGAAGGTCCTCGTGTCACTGAGCTGGTTCCCAGGGAAGGAGCTCCGGCAGTCCTCAAGAAGCAGAAGTTTATTTTGTATGCACTTGAAGCCGATGGAAAAAGTGCCAACTTGGTTGAACAATCCCAAGTGAATGAACTGGTCAAGAAGGATCACCTTTTGATGTTCCATGCAGGCTCGCAGTCCTTGCAGAAGGTCTCACGTGGCCTGGAGGGTGACACATTCTTTCATCCAGCATTTGATGTCGGAGGCTTGACCAACTATCGTCAGGACATCGGAAAACATGCCGAGAAAGCGGGTGATGCCATTCTGCTGCGCCCAGATGGCAACCTGGAGGAGTGTGCTGCCTCGATTCAAAGCCAATGGAGCCAATTAGCTCAGAAGGAGATGCCCAAACAGCTGCTGGGTTTTGCTTATATAAGGTGATTTCATATTGTCCTGAACTGGTTTAATTCCCTAATCTAGGGACCTAGGGAGGATTCATTTTGCCTTGGTCCCGAAACCAGCAAATCCAAGGCTGCATTCAGACTTGAAAGCTTGGCTGGTCTCCGTGCTCCTGGCATTCAAGACCTCTGCCCAGCTCCACTTCTTGGCCTTGCCGCAGGAGCATCGGGTCTTGATCACTGCAGGTGATGTTCGCCAGAAAACTGGCACGTACTTCACTCGTTGCTTCGGTGGATCGGTCTATGCAGAGGAGGCCAAGGGCGACACTGAGCTTTTTTGTGCCGTGTCTCGCGAGTACGTTACCCCGAATATCAACATGAAGAATATTGATCTGGAATACTACACTTATTCGAGTGCGGACACCATTGCAGCAACTGGTGGGCTGGCTTAAAGTACGGAAACACTGAGGAAGCTGCATTCTTGTCGGTCTTGTACTTGGAGAACTGCAATCGGTCGCAAGCAAAAAGATGTTCGCGCGATCGTTGTGTGTGCATATCTGTCATGAAGTTTATAAGACTGGAAGTCTGGCTGGCGTGCGTATCCAGCATCTAAAACGGTTGCCCTGGGCATTGTGGAAAGTGTTTTCTTATAGATTCATTTGTACTGTAGGGTGTGTGAAGGAAGGAGCACTTGCACACGCCGACCTGAACACACACCATAGTTCATCATAGATCGACCAATAGGACCTGATTCTGCAACCACCAACAGAGCAAGTTCCACGAAACTACAAAAGAGAACGACAGTGGGGCTGTTGTCCCATAAATCTGTGTCTCTGCATATAGCATGCATGATGTTTTCTCTTCGTTTGTTAATGAATCAAGTACTTGTTAATTTAATGCGATTTATGATTTATGCGAGTGAGCGAAATCCTGCCGTGCGGTGCTGCAAAGACTGGAACGGAGGAGACGAGACCAACGATGCGAAGAAACCACGGCAACGACGTCAGGCCACGGCCACGACGGACAGAGCAACGCCCAGCGCTAAGCCGCCAGTAAGCTAAGCCGCCAGTAAGCACCTCTCGTGTCGCAGTCTTTGGAATTGGTACCCTGGTGTACACGTAAAAGACGTTGTAGTGCGCTGTTGTCGTGATGCACACGGCTAGATCAAGTTATTCGGTCGAGGGATGAAGCATGTGAAAGGAGAGCAGTTGCCTTGTTCAGACAAAGAAGACTCCGTTGGTCACGGATTTCTTGGTAATATTCCACGGCGCTGCCATTTTGCTCAGCAAGGGTTTGAGCAATGTGAGTGCCGTTGTATGAGAACCCACCTTGAATATGGGCTCCAAGGGCCTGCCAGGGCTCTGACACCTTCCAAAGTCTGAAGTTTAAAAGCTCTTGGCTTTGATGGATGGCTGCCATTGGACTGACGGTCCGGACGCTTCCGAGCGCAAAGGCTTGTTGCAAGTTGATGTGTGTGGAGAAGATAGCTCCGATTCTCAGGAATGGGATGCTCAAGCGGAGAGGACTTGGCTTCCGGCCTGCTTCTATGACGGCGGAGAAATCTTGTGGACCTCTCATTCAGCAACTTGCTTTTGACTGCTCGTTTTCCTTAGTAACAAGAAGCTACTAGGTGGAGGCCATCGCTATTAGGTTGGAGGCCATTGCTACTGGTAACTAGAAGCTAGTTGTTTGTTTTTTCTCTCTCGCCCAGATATGAAGTATGTCTAGTTTGGTGGTTGCAATGAGTCACGGATGGCGAACACTGGTAGTTGCACCAACTGTTGATGTTTCGCCCAAATACTTCGTTGGACCTGTCCGAGAGTATTTGTTGTTCTTCTCAAGGATATTCAAGGATGATGCATACTATGACTGACAGATACTGACAGTATAATGTCGGTAGAATATATAGATATTTATATATATATGTATACTGTATACACATTATAAAGCTTCAGAGGCTTGAAATAGCATCCAAACCTGCAGTTCAGGGCAGCCTTCGAGAACCGTTTGTTCTTGGCTCAGTACCCAGGTCGGTCCTGCCATTCCGTGGCTTTGGGCCCTGAATATCGCTTTGATTATACATTCTGCACTGTTCTTCATTCTGGTGCTCCTGGCGAGGTTGGGTTGAACTAGTCATAGTCAAAGCCTGCATGTTTCAATAAATCATGGATTCCCTGTAGGTCCTGCACTTCAGGAAGTTCCTATCCTGCGGCGCCAGTGTGGATTGTGGTCGTTGCGGTTTCGCTGCTACCCCTTCAGCTTCTTGCAGACTCTTGTCCTTTCTATTTTCCTTGGCTCACTCTACCATCGATCAGGGTCATGTTGTCAATCCTGTGACGTAGTCCACTGACCCACTGACACACAATTACTGTACGTACTTGATTGTAGCTTCTCCCGACCCACCTAGGAGTACCAATGTCTTTGTGCCGTGCTGGCCACCTTTACCAAAGACATGATGCAGTGGCATCCGACTGGAGCAAGGTTTACAGTCATGACCGTGCCCGTACCGGTCGGCGTGTGGGTTCTATACTGTATGAGCCTCTCAACATTGTTTTTTGCAGACTTGCTCACAGACAGCAATTTTTCTGGCACTATGAGCTTTTCAGGTTGGCTCAGTTGTTTTGTCATGTGAGCACTGTTTGCAAGTTCAACTTGTTCAATGCATCTTTTCGTTCTTGCTTCCCTAGTAGGTGCTGAAATGTGCTCAGATCAGACTGACAAGATATGGGGCTACTGGTGGGAGCACAGCGTGGTCGGAATGATTGGTGTGCCACCCGTGCCCTTGGACCACTTGGTCTTCATTTGCTGGTTATTGACGTTTCTTCAGCAAGTGGTCCCATGTGTCACTTGGTCAGAGTTGGAACTTTATCTTTTGGAATAGCCGGCATCCGGCATCGGGCATGGCATGGAACAGGAATGGCCAGCATCCAGGCATGATTTGTACTTGCGTAAGAGGATGCATGGTGTCAGACATCTCAGGCAACAATGGTTCGTTCCGACCGGGTGGCCTACGAGAGATCCAACGACGGCAAGTCCAAAGCTCTTCTGACAGGCCAACAACTCTACAACGACGATGTGTTCTTTGAGCTTGGGACAGCTGCAGGTTTGCATTCCATCACGCTGATTTCTACCAACTGTCGGTGGTGTCATGTGAAGAGACTGTGCCAAACCCAACCGTGGAGGCTGGGCTGAAGAGTCAGAAAGGAACAGGAGAGCCAGGTTTTATGTGTGGCAGGGAGTACTGTACCTTTATCATGTTGAATCAAACAAGAAAGAGGGCGTTTCAACCGGTTTCACCACTTGGCAGAAACAACAGAAACACGCCAGGGTCATGGGCTACGCCAAACCTCTAGCTGAGCAGCTCACCAAGAAGTTCTTCCTTTCCTATTTCCTGGAGACACTTGGCTGGCTGGATTTACGAGGGTCAAGAAATTGATCGTACCCAGTGAAGACAAGGTAGACATGATGGGCTAAGTACACTGTCGAGTTCCTTTTTTCACACTGTCCGATGCATCGAAGACAAAGGCCTGCTGTCCAACTCAATCTCCAAGCTTGCATTCTTGCGATCAACCGCTACCAGGAAGCTTGACATATACATGGGTTACTTTTTCCGCATTGGCGCTATTCAAATTGGTTCTTCTTGCATGCCCAACGTGCCCACCCTTTACAATCACGGAACAACAACTTTGAAGTCCTTGAACTGCACGGATCCATTGGGGAACAATCACCTTGCAACGCTTGAGGCTGAATCAAAAGCTTGCGTTCCACATTGTTTGACAGCAGTTGTTATTTCCTGACCTTTGTTTTGCCTACCCAGTC